TGAAAGCCTCAGAAAGTGAGTTATAAAGCGGCAGTTCACGAGTACAGCACTATCACCCCCTTCTAAACTAAAGTGATTATTCCATCATTTCACCTTATTGGAACCTGCATCTTACCGAGAAATCCCTTAAAATATCTACATCATTCCAACCGAGCTAGTAGTAGCCACCTTCATTTACATTGAGTATATTTTGTTCATACCTGAAGAGCTATGCCCGCGCAAATCTACCAGTCTCTTCAAAAACTATTACCCCACTGCCGTGACTCAACTCATGCACACTCAGTACCACAGATCCAGTCATCGGGTGTACACTTGCCTATCCTACTCACGAAGATGATCTCTATCCGTTCAGTTCAACTGTGCGCGGATTGATTTTTCTTTCTCGTACTAGGTCGCCCATCATCTTTCATACTCCGGGGTTTACAACCTGTGTTCCTTGAATCATGGACAATGCATCAACTCAGTGCCATCTAAACTTCTCGGATTACGGTCCAGGAAGCTTGAGTTCTCTGCTTACCATTATTACGTGGTATTCAATTGGCGGTTTACAAAGGAAAACTAGATCCGTTATTTCGGTTGTGTGGTCCTTAACGGAAGTTGAGTAACCGGCAGTGTACTACATCGCTCATCCCGTAACAGTAGCTCTTCTGCAGAAATTGAATTCGCTTACTGCCGTCCTGCTATTGATTTGTGTATTCTCGTATTTTTCCGCTGATCTACAGAAAGATCAAGGTGGATACCTTGACCACATGATGCATAGAGTACCTGCAGCGACTCATCATTTCCTGTCCTCATTACCCTGTCCTACATATACTTTTGGTACTAGAAGCTACCGAAATCGGTTAAACTTACCGCAAACATAAATTTCCTTGTCGACCATTTGAGTTATTAGTGTCTTCTCTGCTGGTGATGCAACTGTCCGCTCCGTGGTGGAACACTGATCGCTCGGAACGAACACGTCAGCATGGTGTAGAGCGCAAATCGGGCAGTCTGATCACATACGAACGGTTTGACATATACCTGCGGCCTCATGTGTATTATTGAATCCAGGCCTGGAAGCCCTGACACAAGAAAGATCTTGCGACGCTCAAGATTCCACGACGAATAAAACCACCGAGCACGTCAAAGGATTTGTAGTGAAGGTACAGTGCAATAATAAATTATAATAATAATGTGTCAGCTGAACGCCGTAACGGCGTTTCGCTGCCGCGCGACCACCACCAGTCGCGCGCGGGCTGAGTATACCACGAGGACGCCCACCCCTACGCCGGGTTCAGGGTGATCAAGGTGCAGTACAAAGGGCACTTTAAATACTAAGCCAAACTGGATTACCTATTGGCGACATAATATCCCACTTCTCAAACCCTTCACTTATTTCCTTACAGTAATCTATATTTGTTTTCTTCTTACCCTTGTAGTATGAAACACCTTACGTTTTAACTTCACAGTTTTGACATATTCTTGATCAGATCATCCTTGACAGTTTGCCGATTAGCAAACTGTTACGCTATATCTTTTTGTCACGCTGCCGTACGTTTTGCTGTGTATGCACTGATGAGACTCGCCCAGTTGAGGAAACGCCTGTTAAAAGATGCTACCCTTCTCGAGGCATACACAAATGCAGTGACAGTATACGTGGCTAAAGGATACGCTGAACCGGTTCCAATACCAGAGGAATAGATCAAAGGAGAAACCTGGTACCTACCGAATCATTCAGTATAGCATCCACGTAAAACGGATAAAATACGGGTAGTTTTCTATTGTCAGGCCTCTTACCGTAGTATTTTTCTAAACCAACAGGTTTTACAGAGTTCCGATTCGTCAACCGGTTTAGTTGGTTCTTTCTCGCGGTTTAGATCCCGTTCAGTCGCGATTTAATCAACATGGAAGTAAGTTTTTATCAAGTCAAGGTTCCCAGCCGTGATAGGGATTGCTTGAGGTTCCTAAGGTGTAAGAACGGTGGCCTTTGCTTACCTTCTACTGAATATAGTATGACAATACCGCCGTTTGGAGCCAAAAAAGAAATTGTTTCTACGTCGAAGTGTGCCTCCAGCGTTGATTCTATTCACGGAGCGACTGAACTCGTCAAGTATTTTACCCGTAAATTGGCCAGTGAAGGATTTCATTAAACAGAAGGTATGGACTTTTAATGGTACGGCGCGGCCGTATCCATGAAAGGATATTGATCACTAATCAGCTGCTTGACTACAAGAGCAGTTCACATTGATGTTTCTCATTTCATGGATACCGATTCCTTTTTGTGTACATTTTCGAGATTTTTGCTAACCGCGATCGGCCGACTCTCATATACGGCGAAAATGGACAAAATATTTTCGCGGGGCTGAACCTGAATTACGCGGCCTTCTGAGGAATTATGATCAACAGATAACGGAATTCATACTGTCACGGGAGATTATTTGGAAGTTTAACCCTCTCTTTGTTCACCATCGTGGAGGTCTTTTGGAACGAATGGTTCGAGCGATAAACGAATTGTTGTGTGACATTCTCAACGGCGAGATTGTAACATAAGAGTTACCAATGAAGACGCTTGTTGAAGTCGAAAAGATATTGGATGACAAGCCTCTAGTAGGGGTACCTGACGCACCTGAACCCATGACACCATATCGCGGAGAAAACTGTTGACATTAACGAACGCACAGCCTCTGGAAAATCTTACCACCAGCTTACCGATGAATATTAGTAGAAGATGGAGGCAGGTAAGACGTCTTTCCGATATATTTTGGTGTAGATGAATTAGAGTGGAATTACCGAAACTACAACAGAGACAGAAATGGTTAACTAAACTTAGAGAGCTCAGGCAGCGTAATCAACTTCTAGTTTGTGATTAGCGCACCCCAAGAGGTCTGTGGCCGAAGGCAGTCGTGGAAGAAAGCATGCCAGAGCAAATGGTTGGACAGGTGTTGGTGAGGACAAGCCATGGTCTCCTTCGAAGGGATGTTAGACAACTCAGTTTCTTAGAAGCATACGAAAAAGAGGATGACGAGGCTGTGGAAGCTAGTGAAGAGGGTAGAAGACCACCATGGAGTGTAAAGTCCAAACAGAACTCTGAATATTCAGGCACACTGGTTTAACTATCGAAGATATAGCATCCCTTTTCTCAAACCCTTCACTTATGTGCTTACAGAAATTTATAAATCTCTTTTTCTAACAATTGCATTATGAAGCACTTAGGTTTTCACTTCTCATTATTGGCGTGTCCTTGACTCTTCAAGATCAAACAGTTCATCCTTGACAGTCTGCCGATTTGCAAACTGCTACACTGTGTCGTTTTGCGACGCCGCCGCACGTCTTGCAGTTTCTGCCCTTTTCTATTACGACTAAACCTATTCGTATGTTGATTTCTGTATTTAACTTGTGTTATAGAACCACGGTAACTGGAATTAACGTTTTAATTTCTCTGTCCAGATCATGCGTATAGTATAGGATTACTAGCCTTCAGGTTCTTGCCCCATATCGTGCGACTACCTAGTCTAGGTTTCAGATAGTCTTCACAGTGAACATAAAACATTTACGTTTTCAGTGTTTTATGACGTTGGATTTTATTCTTGTTTGCATCTTCCGATCATCCATTTGTTTTACTGATGGTGCATCCGGTTCACTCGCTCCTTCCCCGTGAGTCACTCTGTACGCTTCTGTCTGCTCTTGCTTAACTGCCCTCAATTCTCTGTAGCTTTTGTCAATACACATTGGGTCTAGCCGATCTGACTGTTCTCCGTATCCCCGTAATTGACAAGTCTCTTATGCATCACCGCTTACGACCAGTATCTGAGTAGTATCGCACAGGTTGTTTCACCTTCCATTTCAAGTTAGGCTGAACAACCTAAGATTGCACAGCGGTCATTGTCGGAGCCTACGTGGCGACCTAATAATTATCTAACAGATTTTGAGAAATCCCAATGACGTCAGCCGCCACCTACTACAACACCGTCGAAACACGAATTTGAGGGACCATCAGCTCAAATTGACCACGTATTACATTCGACTAGAATGTCGGCGGAACTACTACCCTATTCCTGTCTGCCATACATGGAACGCCCTGCCAAATTACGTTGTGTCGCCCCCACTTTATCAGCGTTTAAAAACCCTGGGGTTGTCCTGACCCACATATATTACGATATTAATATAAATATATATATATATATATGCTGGGTACATCGACAAACGATATACACTTTTGAGCGTTTCACAACCATCATAAAGCTACACAATCAAGGTTAGCCCGTTTATGCGTGCCCTCCATACACTACGGTGACTCCACCAAGACTCTTTTCATTTTTTCACTGTTTTCTTTGTGCCATATTGTGACTTTCATACTGGCCATCTCCTACGGGGTTTTGTAAACACCTGCTTTTTACCTCTAACTCCATTACCCGTTTGCGCTTCGCAACTATCTGCCCGGAGGAGTTGTTTTTCGCGGCTTTTGGAAAAACCTTCTTTCTTTGCCTCTTGGAACCACCTAGTTGGCCACTCCTACGTTCTCCCGTAAACAAATCCAAAATCCAATGTAGCTAGTATGACTGTAAACTGGCTTCTTCTGTTCAGTTTACTAAAATGCCCAAACATCCTCAGTGGCAGTTTACGCCTGATGACATGGACCGACTGATGACTTGTGAAGTTCTTTCACATCCTACTTGGACCACATGAAACCAGTGGACTAAAACCCAAATCCAGAACGAAACAAAACTATTTGTTAGGCTACTCTCTGAAAGGAATTTAGTCGCCTCTGTCTTCACGGCTTACGCAGGTCGCGGCAACTGGGTGCAGTAATCCATTTGGCGGAAACCTTGAGCACTCCGGCCTCAGAGCGGTGTCATGCTTCTCCTCGTTACCTGGCTTTGTCTCGTGACACAATCGAATGAGCTCTTCTCCATGAAGTCGCGGTAACTATTTCCTTGTTCACTAGCTGCAGGGTATGTTAGTTTAAATGAGCAACTTGATATTGTGGTTTTGCATCACATGTTCGTCCTACAGAAACATACCTCCATCCAAAGCACTGTACACACGTGGCCGTGCATAGCCAAAGATGCGCCAAGCTAGACTCAACAAGGACTATGCTCATATAACAGTGGGTGCAGACCAGACAAATCTTCTAGCTTTGCATTACATGAAGGGACAGTAGCAAAGTAAACGAGCGGTGCTTGTAGCCATGCTGTAGCAAGAAGGAATAGGCAAGAAAGCACAATCTTTGTTGTACGTGACGATGAGGAACAAAGCTCCTATGCACGTGTATACAGATAGGTGACGGTTCCATCCTACAATGCACCATCCTTGGCAGCTCATCGTCTGCCACTTTAGTGCTCCGTCTGGCCTCCACTTGTTAAATCTCTCGTGCCTGGTGATCCCATATCATCTCTTCCGTTAGTTGCATTCTGACTAGCCTGGCTCTGTACTAAGGTTCTTGATTTGCCTGATCACGGTTCCATAACTGTTAGGGGTTACTTCTCAAGGAGCCTACAAAAGTGGCTCACTTTGTATTTATTGATCTTTCGGCCAATACCTACTCTGTTCTCCTTGGATCAGGCCCATTACCGCTCATCGCTTGTAACACACTCACCTTGTTCCCTGGGGCTTTATTTTACTCCGTCTGAGCTTGTTCATGGTGCATGTGCCGGATACCTATCCTTTTGCTTTCTTGGTTTACCTGCCTTCCATTAGATCGTTGTCTCTTACACACCTACAGAGGAACATGGCTCGAAGCAATGTTAGACTTTACACATAAACATCCTTTCTTGTCCTGAGTCTAAGCGATCAGCATTAACCATTTCACATTGTCTACAGTTGTGTATCCCAAACGTGCGCGCATACCACTGTTTGAAACTAGCGGTTCAACGATATCCCCACTGATTCAACGCGATGTTTTAAGAGTCGTTCACAACACGCGGACTCGAGCAATCCCCACTCTGGTTTATGAAAACATGACTCTTAGTAACTTCTAGCATGGGCTAACACAATAACCGTCTGTAGTGATAGTACAGTGCGGTGGAAGCTAGTGTGGAAGGGCAGAATGGACCGCGGGAAAAGCTATCCCCAATGCTCATTTTCAAAAACAAGCATATGACGATTGCTGAGACATAGGCTTATCCGATCAGATACCAAGTAATGCGATAAGACAAATTCCCATCAAACTTATCAAATCTTTGGAGTATTTTACCGTATTCATAAACGTTTCACAGCCTATAACATTTGGGGTTGAAAATAGAGGTTAGCAGACTTATGATATATTTTTTGGAGAGCCCGATAAATAACAAGCCCTGTGTAGGTGGTTAGCGCTTTAAAGCTCTGAAACTCAATGAACTTACCTTTATCGTACTGGCTGGCCAGTTACTTAGCCGTTAGAGTGAACAGAACAGACCGACCGCACAGATCCTCCCTCTCACCAGGAAATCTGGAAGGAACTGTGCCTACTGAAGCGTCATAGAGCATACGACCCTGATGGTATACGTCTTGCTCACTTTAAAGATAGTGGCCATTCACTGGTTTAAAAAGTTACCACTTTGCTGTCAGAAGCCTGGTCTCGAGAAGATGCTCTATCGCCCTGGGCCGAATCGATATTCGTCCCCGTTTTCAAAAAGGGTCTGTGCACAATGTTCTCCAACTACAGAGGTATAAGTGTGGTTCCCGTCATCTACAAGCTTCTGGTGCCCATCATAGTTCGCGGACTCTCCCCAGTGTGCTAATCGCTACGGCGGGAAGAACAGGCTGTGTTCCGCAGTGGCCATGGCTGCATCGATCGAATTATCGCACTCTGCCAGATCAGTAAGCTCCGCCATGTATATCAAAAGCCAACAACTTTCCAGGAGGTAACGAGCAAAAACATTCTCCTCATTTCTACTACTCTACCATCTGGTTTAGAAAACATCACCTTCACTGCGGAAGCTGTGTTGAAGAAGTTGTTATCCTTGCGTATCCACAGTTCTCCCGGAGCTGACAACATCCGACCAAAGGCTCTACAGGCAGTAGCTAGTGATCTAGCAGCACCACTGGCTATTTTCTATCAGCGATGTCTAGAGGAGAACCGTATTTCACCAGTATGGAAACGAGGGGTCATCACATCTATTCATAAAGGAGGTAGCCGCACTGATCCTGCCAACTACCGTCCAATAACACTACTTCCAGTACTATCCAAAGTGATGGAATCAATCATCGCAGATGCGCTGATGGAATACCTAGAAAGCCACAATTTACTAGCCCCAGAGCAACATGGCTTTCGTCAAAAGCATTCGTGTAATACTAATCTATTAATTGCACGTAATAGCTGGACTGAAGCTGTTGATGATGGAGTAGGGGTCGATGTCATCTACCTGGACTTTTCAAAAGCATTTGATCGCTTAAACCATCGCATTCTCCTTCACAAGCTTCGGAATTACGGCAATGGCGACCCAATCCTGATTTGGATTGACAATTTTCTACAAGAACGACGGCTAGTGGTGAGAGTCCGAGAATCATTGTCTGATGCAATCGATGTGGCGTGTGGAGTACCACAAGGCTCGGTTCTTGGACCTCGTCTATTCTTTGTGTTCATTAACGGTTTGGCGAGATCAGTTGCTTCCGATTTCCTATTTTTCGCTGATGATATCAAGATATGGCGAAGGATCAGAGGACCGGACGACAATGAACGGCTCCAGCACGATCTTAACACAGTGTCGAAGTGGTCAGTTCAAAACGCCCTACCGTTCAACGTAGACAAATGTCGCGTTGTACAAGTACGCCACAGACATAACTACACCTATTCACTTGGGACCAACCGACTGCAGAATAGCTCCCAGGAACGTGACCTGGGTGTGATCGTACAGAGCGACCTCAACTGTTCAAAACAGGCTGAGGTAGCTGTCTAAAGAGGCAACCGACATGTCGGCATGCTGCGAAGAGCATCCGGGAGATTTGACCCATCAATCTTCCCAATGACGCACAATTCCTACGTGCGCCCGCATGTTGAATACGCCACCCAAGCTTGGCACCCTTGGTTGAAACGTGACCTAGAAGCGATAGCGGCACCACAACGGACAGCAACAAAGAATGTGAAGGGCCTGCGCTATCACTCTTACCACCGAAGGCTGAAGTTGCTGGGAATTTTCAGCGGGCGCTATCGAAGGCTGCGCGGTGATCTCATATTAGCGTATCAAATATTGAGTGACCCCAACCACGTATGCTGCCATTTGCTGAAACTTAACCACAACACGCAGCTCAGGGGTAACTGCTTAAAGTTGAAGGAACAATACAGCCGTCTAGATTGTCGACGGAATTACTTTTCCCTTCGGGTTTGCAAACCTTGGAACACATCCCAGACTCAGTTGTATCCTCTCCTACCTTGGATGTTTTCAAAAAACGATTAGATGTTGCTCTTAGCTCCCAACATTTTGTTACCTAAACTCCCCTACTGTGGATTACGCCAAGCATGCTTTTTAACAGGATTTATGTATCAAATGGACTTAAGTGAGCGACCATATTTTACTTTTCTCACTCTTTACCTCAATGGTCATTGAACCCCTGTGTCTTTCTGAACGTTTACGCTCGATAATTTAGTTTAATTTTACACTGATGTTACTTATCAAACTATTCATCTCGGCAGACGTTCGATAGATGACCCAGACATATTTTGATTTCATCATGTTCACCTTAACCATCCTACGGGAAGTGTCAAGCACTTGCTTTTATCTCGTGATAAATCATCGTTCATTGTTCCTGTTCCTATATATTCGTCATGCCTTAGATTTTGTCGACAAGACTGCATTGTGGCAGTGTCTGTTGAGGAATGGCGTCCCCGAGAATTTTGTTTCCGTACTGCATGCTATGTAGGATCTGTCTTCGGGCAGTATTAGGACTTATGATAAGCTTTTGTCTTCCTCTGTTCTCACCAGTGGAGTTCGAAAAGGTTGTCATATCTCTTAATTCTTCTTCAATATTGCCAATGAAGATATCCGTAAAAATGCTCTAGAAGACTCGTTAAACACTGGCGTTGAGCTCCTCGCAGATAGTCGGGTTGCTGACTTGGGCTACGCTGATGATATCGTCTTGCTGGGCGATGGTCTACAGACCGTCCAGCTTCCGCTTAACCGCTTGGCGATTGAAACGTCCAGGTATGGCATAAACTCTTCACCTTCAAAGTGCAAATTACTTTTTCAAGACTGACAGTGGTGAGACACTGGAGATTATGGAGAGTTTCGTCAACCTAGGAACTTCCATCACTCCTAGTGGAACTGCTGGAGATAAAATTTGAATGAGTATCTCAAAAGCTCGTCTGACCTCCAGATTGAAGTAATTGGGGCGCCGCAATGACATCCGTGCAACTGTCAACGGGTGGGTCTTTGTGCAATTGTCCGCCCTGTACTGCTGTACGGTTGTGCGACGTGGCATTTTCGACCCATTGACCTTCGCCACTTGTCTATCTTCGAGCACTCTTGCTTGCGGTCAACTGCCCGAGTAAGCAATGCGGAACTTAGACAGCGCGTCTTGGAATGAGACCACCACTCGCTTGAGACGATTGTACGGATGCGCCAATCGCGGTTACTTGCTCACGTGTTTCGCATGCCCGCGGTCAACTGCACCGCGTAAGCAGTGCGGAACTTAGACAGCGCGTCTTGGAATGAGACCACCACTCGCTTGAGACGATTGTACGGATGCGTCAATTGCGGTTACTTGCTCACGTGTTTCGCATGCCTCTTCAGCGTCTTCCGGGTCATGCACTGTGCGCGGTTGCTGGGTCGAACTGAAGGAGGCGGCGCCGTGGACAACCTAGGACTTGGAAAAGGAGCATGAAATAGCTAACCAAGCAGTAGGTATAGGTCGGTCGATCTCTACTCCCTGGTTGTGGTCTCAGAGACACGGAAAGTCGCTGATAAGAGGCCCTGGAAGATATGGCTCAAAAACAACTCAATTGAAGACGTGTATCTCTGTGTCTTGCGGTGATGCCCTTTCCTTCCCTTAATAAAACAAAATGCCAAAAGAAACTCAGAAACTGCGTGAAAAGTTGGACAAAAATTGTTACCTGTTATTTCTTTTATTATTCAGATCCTGTGTTCATATTCCGCCATGATTCCGAAGGCACTATATCTGCACTAC